TGGGTATAGTAGAGTAAAGAAGGAAAAATAATGTGTAGTGACAAGGTGTAGGTTTTGCCTTTTAAAGTTGGATGGATGGATGGATGGATGGATGGGTGGATGGATGGATGGATGGATGGATGGATGGATGGATGGATGGATGGATGGATGGATGGATGGATGGATGGATGGATGGATGGATGGATGGATGGATGGATGGATGGATGGATGGATCTTTGTTAAATTATTTTGCTTTGTTGATATTGTTTTTATTTTACTAAAAAATAGATTTTGTTGCTCATAAATGGAGCAGAGAATCATTAAGGTGTTATTTATAGTTCTGAAACAGAAATAAAAATTAGTGTCACCTGGAATCGTCAGGTTAGAGTTACAAACTGGCAATAACTCAAAGTCTGTCTCTGTAAAATATGCCTTTTTAAGATTATATATAGTCGTGAACAAAAGTAATAATTGGTTCTAGAAGAAATAACCCTTTGATGTGAGAGAATAGAAAGGTTGCTTTGACATCTGTGAAGAGATTTCAATGACAGACAGGTGACAACAACATTAAATTTGATCAAGCCTTCTCTAGAAAAAAAACAAAGTTTGAACATGCAAAATCTTCGCTTCAATCTCCCTGGGGGAAAACCAGAGGACTTTCTAACAGATGTGTCCTCTGGGCTATGTATCACAAGATAATTAAAAGACTCTTCACGATTAGAGGGCTGCATCCTAATATTGGGCCACATCATTTGTCTACAAACTACACAAAGCAGTTGCTCTGACATAATCCACTCAAAAGGCTCTGTGCAAACAGGCAGGAAAATAACAATTACCTGCTTTTCATCATGAAGATATGCAGCCAGTCCTGCATGGATGACTATCGCTCTGTTAATCGCATACTAAAATGATGATGGTAGTTATAGTAGCATTAGTCATTATTTAATTATAGTATCTTTTATCACAAATGTATTGCAGTTTTTTTATATTACTGAATATTATTAGTATGATTATAATTACTACTATTACTATCAGTAGTAGTGACAGTAACAATAATTTCCTCTTGTTTATTTTGAGTCACTTCACTCCTACTGATATGATTATTGAGGATGTATGCAAACACAAACCACTAAAACATTCGACAGTACGAAGCTAAAAGCTGCAGGTCAGATCATATATTTGTGAGAGAGGTAAGGAGCTCAGGAACCAAATTTCTCATCCGGTCTCCTCATTCCTCTCAATGTTATTGGTTGCTGTAAATGCGACCCTCTGTTTAACTGACCACATCTGCTCACAGTAAGCAGTTCCTTAGGAGACCAGAGGAAGCAGTTCTGCTCTGAATCTGGAATCGAGGCTGTAGATTAGATTATGATGCCAGTTTTAATCTGCTTTTTTTTCCCCCTAGCAAGATATGAAGCCCCTCCCCTGCTTCTTACCATGGCACAAAACTTGACAAGAGCAGATTTTGCTTAAGTCCGCCGTACTGATGATTCTGTGATTCTTTGTGACAGTCTAATTTGGACTTATGGAGTTAGAACTCTAATGCATCCATGATGTGGAAATAAAACTTTTCGGTGAGATCCTTCTCTTGGGGTCAGCTTTTACTAACCAATTGGCTTTCCTGAAACTCTACTTCTATTTTTTGACCTATCTTTCAGTTAAATTAGGGTGATTTTAGCACAGATATATGTAATATTTCTTCATTTAAGTTTAAAAGACATCAAACAAAATTCTAGTTTTAATTCTGCCATTGTTATTTAATTGCTTGAGCAAATTAAGGCTTTTTCCTCCCTTTACAGTATATTTCATTGAGTTAATTCTTACTCAAAATTGGCCCTTACAACTACAGCTTTAGTTGTAAAAATGCATGATTTGAAAATACAGTGATAAGTGACTAAAATAGTCCAAATGATAAGTGTAGTGATAAAGAATATCCACCTAGAGCAAAAATGGGACCAACTTTGTTTTTTCTGTTATGCTGTCTTCTCCTGCAGAGCTTCACATATTATATATTCTAGCATCTGTTTTAGTGAATGTGGTGCAAAACAGGGTCGTCTTCGGGCATGTTGCTCAAGGACACTTGGAATCCAAAAGCCGTCGCCAGATCTCTGACCTTTCAGTATCAGGAAAGTCTCCCCACACCCCTAATCGCCCTTCGTCATGACATTTAACATAGTGAGCAAAGGAACAGATGGGGACATAGAAGCCATACCCAGCTGGGAGGAGCTCAGGGAAATCGGCAGGAAAAAAATGTATGTTTTCTACTTCTTTGTTTCAGTTTTCAGACAAACATGACCGAATAGCTGTTGTGAAAGTGACTGGACATTTTTTTATCTTTCAAAGTGCAAATACCTCTGGAGATGACTTGAAGTCTTAGGGTGTGATGAAATGGTCTTCTTATTGTGGATCCATATCCAAACAGTTCTTCTGTTTTATCAGTTTATTTTTTTTAAATGTCCTACAAATGCCCCTTGAACCTTTTACACTTTTTGTAGTGTAACAACCACAAATTTGTATGTGTTTTCTGTAAAACACACCAACACCGCTAAGGTAATTCCCTTGAGAGACAAGTTTTGGAGGGGTTGAAACGTCTCCCAATTTTTCTTTGCAAAGTAGCTCGAGCTCAGTGGAATGGGTAGAGAGCATCTGCAAACAGCTTCATGGCTTGCCAAGAAGTCTCAGCTGGATTTAGATCAGCATGTTAAGTCGATCTTATACTTTCAATCTGAACCGTTTCCTTGTAGCCCTGGTAGAACTTTAACGGTCACTGGTCTGCTGAATTGTTCATCTTGTTTTCACAGCCTCAAGTCTCCTGCAGCCTCCAAATGGTTTTCCTCCTGCAGTTGGCTCCATCTATCTTCCCATTAGCAATGAACAGCTTCCCTGTCCCTACCAAACAAATGCATCCCCACAGCATGAGGTTGCCACCACCATGTTTAACTATGGAGATGGTAAATTTAAGGTTTTGGTTTTCTGTAACACCTGGCATTTGCATAAAATGGGTGTATCTGAGAAGACCTTACAGTTCTACACAAAAAAGACCCAAGAGCCGAATCTAAAACAGGGACTTTCTTAGCACTATCAACTAAACAACAGTGCAACAATAAAATAAAAAACTTAATTTACTAAATAAATAACTTCAGAAGGGAAACCGAGTAAATATGGAGCAGTGATTGCTCAACCCAATGCTCAGTTTACTTTTAAAAACTTTTAAAAACCATGTCGACAAATGTATCAAAGTAATCTCTCTCAATTGAGATGTTTGTTTTGTTTGTGTTTGTTTATTCTATGATATTAAAACATATATTGTGATTGGCACTTAAGAAAGAAATTGAAGGATATGAAAACTTCTGTAAGGCTCTATACAGTCCTGTCAAGTAGTCTTCAAGTACATAAAAGCCGAATCCTCACCACAGATTTAGATTGCCTTAGTCACTATTTAAAGGATGTTTTAGCAGAAAACATGTAAAGACGTCAAATAAACGGCCTCTTTTTTATTCTAAGAACAACGTTATCTTGCATTACTGACAAAGTCGCTACACATGTGATAAACTTTTATTCCTTGTAAGGTTAACAGTAGTTTAGAGCCGAGGTCCTCAACAGGGGGTCCGTGACCCTTAGGAGGTCCACAGAGGTACAGAATGGGGGTCGCAAAAGTTTTGGTTAATTACTTTTTTTTATATTCCCCCCTCCAATTTTTTCCACTAATTGAAATGTCTTTAAATACACATTAACATCATTTCAACACACGGTAGTAAACAAAAATGGAGGCAGAAGATGTCTTTCAGTCATCAATGCACACATTCAGCGACACACAGGAGCTCTTTTAAGCTGGACACCGTTTCATTCACAACACCTGTCCCATCAACCAGGAATGAGAATCAGAAATACTTTAATAATTCCAGGGCGAAATTACTTTCGTTACATAACTCCATATGTAATAAAGTGACTATTGGACCAGTTTGATATAACACAATTTCATACAATATATATAATTAGGGGGTCCCCGCTCCATCTTGCCATCAATTTGGGGGTCCTTGGCCTGGAAAACGTTGAAGACCCCTGATTTAGAGGCAACACACATTTGATACACCTCATACCATCAGACATCAGTGTCCTGAAAAAGGATGATTAAATATTAAAGATAACATGCATTACTATCAGAATTTACTGCATCTCCTTGATATGTGTTTGATTATAATAACTTAAATGGCAAGGGTGATCAGGCAATAAAATTATTGTTTTTTTATTTGTTTGTGTGAAATAAATAACATCACCATTGAGTTAATAACCAAAACCATCATTATTTGCATTGCTAACTCAATATACTCTAAATACATACTTGTTTCCCCAAAATGTCTTTGGTTTTAAGAGAGAAAAAACATCCGTTTCCCTTCAAAGCATAATGATTCTAGTTTTATTGACCTAAAAGAATTGTTCAATCATAATTGTTTTTTTTATTGGCATATTGTAAAAGATTTATATTCTTATATATTGAATGAATGAATAAATAAAATCTTGAAATCTAAACTCCATACTGGGCAGAATAAGACTAACAATAATCTCAAGGACACTAAACAACAGAGAACAAACCCTGGAGCTTTTCCCTGACCTCTTCTGTTCAGGTTTGCAGAACAATTTGTTCTGAAGAGAAGATTAGTTTTTAAAGCTAATATAATAAATAGAATAAATGAAATGTCAGTGATTAGGTGTTATAAGAACAAGTCATTAATGAGAAATAATGAGAAAATGAATTTTATATATGATCCTTACTGAAGCAAAAAGGATTCCCAATTAATAAGAACACTGCCTAATTATTATTTATTCTCTGTTATCGAGGCAACTTTTAAAAGGTTTATTATGCAGCATTAAATATATTTAAACCTTTAATGTAATCCAAACTAGTCTGAAGAAGAAGCAAACATAAACATCTGGGCCTGTGCAGGGCAGCCTCATTTCTAACCTTTGCAAAGAAAAAAGAAAGAAAGAGAGAGAAATAAAGAAATGAGTCTGAAACGCACCTAAAATCGCTGTATGGGTGAATTATCCAGAATCCGGCCGATTTGACGCGCTCCTGTTCCCGTTCGACCGCCTTCTCACTTCCAAACATCCTCAGGGAGAACTTGTTGACCCCAGGCTGGAGCATCGCTCCCAGCTGCCTGTGGATGAACCCGGCTTGATATAATCCAGCGTCGTCCGGTAAAATCTGATCAATGCCTTCCAGCTTTATAAAACCCGCCTGTTGTTCCGGAGACTCGGCCGGGGCGCCGCCGCTGGCACCCTGTGCACCTTCATCCGGCTGCTCGTCGCCGATCGCCCCAGGGGGGCTCTCCTCGCTCGGGGTTACATCCCCCTCGGTGATGAGGCGTCTCGCCTCGGCCGAGTCTGAGTCGTGCACATGCCGACTAGTGATGGACGATAGGCTGCCTCTAAATCTCCGGCAGTCCCCATTTGAGCTGGTCTTCAGTGGTCTCCCCATGTCCGTCTCCATGATCACAGACTCTCCACTTTTGGTCTCCCCGATGCCTTTGCAGCTCACCCCAGAGGTCGGCGACGGCAGAGGCTTCATCCTGATGCTCTTCCTCCGGGTGTCCTTGTCTGCGTCTTCTCCTTCGCCCATTATGGATGCCCTCTGTCCAATGTGCTGTGGCAAACTGTAGAGCCTTTTACGCATGGATGAGTGCAACCTGTCCATTATGACATTGAGAAACAGTGGGGGGAATTAGATAAATCCAGGGTGTATTGTAACGAACGCAGCCAGCATCCGCGCTCCCCGCATCTGTTAGTGAGAGTGATTAGGCTGGGGCTAATCTGAATCCCTGAAATCCCGCTACACATGACAAGAAACGCCGCGACTCCACTGAACCAGACGAGAGACACTCATTCTGATAGACTACCTGACTGCCCGCATATGTCCTCACGCACGACCTGGGCGGTCCGCCTGCCTGCTGCGTCCTCTGTGCACATCTTTGTGGCGCTCCGACACTGTGCGCAAAAGTGCCTGAAAGTCACCTCAGCGTGACATATGGAAGAGGTGGGATGGAGACAGGGGGAAAGGTCATGCACGACGAAGGAAGGATGCTCCTCTTTCCAAGCTGCGGCTTAGAAGAAGGCGAAAAATCACGCAAAAATACAGTAGAGCGTTCCAAGGAGCGCTGACATCACTCATCCATAGTCAGGATGCGTTTTGGTGAATTGTGAATATTCATGCTGCTGATCTATTGGGTTGCCATAGGAGCGAGAACTGCAAAAAAAGGCTCAACCCACCTTGTTTAAAGGGGAAACGCTCTCCCCATTCTTAAAACCCAACCCTGTTAAGTATACAGGTAGCAGTTGGGGAGCCCTTTGTTGCAGCCAGCCGTGGGCTTCAATATGAGAACCAAAACACCCCTTCTTCATCTGTTTTTCACTCTAATGTGCTGGGTGAATTTCTTTTGAAGTTGAGATAATCAGCAAACACTTGGAAACAAGCTCTAAACAAATCCAAGCATTAAAATGTTGAGGAAGGTATAGAGTAAAGCTTAAAATAACAGCATAAGTGAAGTTGGGTGTAAATAAGTGGAACTCCTGTAATGAAAGATAATTATGGTATTTTAGAGCTATAAAATCTGTATGTATTGTAAATTTAGAACATAAACTAATTACAAATTGCCTGCTTTATTTTCTTACAAGCAGAAAAGGAATTTCAAAACCTGTTCAGTGGTGGTCCTAGTCAATGGTGTAATTATCAGCAGTTGCTTAGGGGCCCCCAACCTCTTTCCAAGGGGCCCCTGGTTGGCTCCCTACGCAACTGGGGTCTAGGATGACTCTTTGCAGAAGTAATTGTGCGAAAAAAGTTCTTTATACCCACCTAATACAAAATTGACAGACCGGACCATATTTATACACATGCCAGATTTCAACATGATGGTGAGCCGTTTACACCAATAAAAAACGCAGACAGTGGTACTTTTAATCACTATGTTAATAACTGTGTATAGTTCATTAGACTGTTAATAAATGTAAAAATACACTCATATATGTTTCAAACCACAATGAAGATCTTAAAAGAACAATGTAATTGATTATTTTATTTTTTACACTACAACGTGGAGTTATTGGTAATACAGAGCATAGATTAAAGGGGGGTAAGTACTTCATATGGGGGCCACCCAGATAATGTTGCTTAAGGGCCTATTGTTGTGTCATTCCACCATTGGTCCTAGTCCAGATTTAAAAGGGACTTCAGGCTGGTGCCATATTTTTATGTGGCACAGAAAAGCATGAAACAAAATATTAGAGTCGCATGAAGTGAATTTTTTTATGTCATTTAGTTTAATTAAAAAGGCTATGTTTTTCCAACTGATTTTTTTTATTTTTTTGGTTGGAAAATTTTAATTAATGAGTTAAAATAATTAGTTACTTAATCAGTACCTACTAATATATAAAAAATTAAGGAATTTACATATTTTTTATTTATTTTAAATGAAAATTTGCAGTTTTAATCAAACCAGAATTAGTAACTAAATAAAGCTTAAATAAAACTGATAAATTCAGCTGTAAAATATTTTTTACATACATTTTACATATACATTTAAATACATTTAAAATTTCAATACAAAAACAATTACAACAAAAAAACAGGCTAATAGATTAAAACTGAGATCCTATCTCAATTAGAATTTCTTTTTAAAAATCATAATCAAAATAGAATTGTAAAAATTTTTTTTTAAATGAAATGGGTCCAAGTGACCTTTGTGTTCCAGCAGATGTCATTAGAAGTGTTTTTAGTATTATATCTTTGATACAGGGGCCACAATAGGGGCCAAGACCAGTTCTACAGGAGCACTGTCCCCTGTTGGCCCCTGTCTAGACCCGCCCATGCCTTTATTTGTATTCTTAAAATAATTTAAGACTAGAAAAAGCTGTTTCGGAGAAACAGCAAGTGGGAATGCTTTTGCTGAATGAATGAAGCTGAAATTAACTGCAGAACATATGAAAATGTGATAGGAAGTCATCAGAAACTTCAAACTGCAGAAAACAATTGAATCATCTGAAGATTTTTGTAGGGTAGAATTATTTGGCACTAAAATGGCAGAAAGAAACTCATCTTAAAAGCTGCACAGCCAAACCATACATAATATCAAAAATGTCATTAATATGTGCACTAGAAGGGTCTTAATATAATGTCTATCAAGTTTCTAGAAAAATTTCTAAAGAAATTTTGAAGTGGGGCCACCTACTGCCCAGAAACATGTCAGGCATGTTATGAATTAGCAGCAAACAGAAAAGCTTAATTCCTGTCCAGAAAAAGAGCAAAATTAAGCCAAGGTTCACAGCATAGGCTGAACAATATAAAATTAGCTGAATCAGAAAAGAAATTACAAAAAAAAAATTTAATCTTATCTGGTTGAAGAAAATATGAGTAGCTCAAGGATGGGAAGTAAAATGTTGAGGAAGATGGTATTGAATAAGTATCAAAATTTTGAAATTGTGGAAATGTCAAGACTTGGCACAACAATTTGAAATGATTTAAAATGTGTTGGTTGATCAGCATAAAGAAAACAGTGTCATCCTTAGAGGATTGAAAATATACAAACCTATGTGCAAGACTGACCATGAGAAGCAGAGGAAGGACAGAGAGAGAAGCTTATAGAAAGAGAGTTAATACCACTTAAGGAGCTGAATTTATAAAAAAAAAAAAACTAACCTGCATGTTACGAGCCGCTGCAGTGATGAAAGCACCGTCGGCAGGCTTAGGCTGCATGTTATGAGGTTAGCAGATGCTGTATCTCAGTGTAAATCTTAGAACCTGGTTAAGAAATATGCTCTGAGGTCTGTGGTCAACAGGCCTTGGTAGTGTAATTTGAAGAAATTGGTTGAATTTGGGTCATAGCTACAAGCCACACGGCACAATGAATGAGTGTGTGTAAGGAAGAGGCTTTTATTTTGTAGAGTCCCTTTAGTCTTATTTTGAAAGTCTATCATGGATGTGTGTCAAGGGAAGGGTCATGCCCAGCAGTTATATAGAATCCATTTCTAAATATGAAATCACTGGTTTTCCATGTCATTGGGTGAATAGATGCTGTATTAGAGCGTAAATGGGAGACTTTTATTGTGAACTTCACTCCGGGGTATGTTTTGAAAAGGTCCCTAGAGTCTAATAGAAACAAACTGGTAGAGTTTGGGTCATAATGCTGATCCATTTGCATCAATTAATACGCGTGTATAATATAGAGGCTTTTATTTTGTAGGGTCACTGGAGTCTTATTTTGAAAGTCTAGCAGTAGTGTGTTGAGAAAAGGGTCAGACCCAGCAGTGATACTTGATGACTTTCCAATCATTAAATCATTCTTTCCCCTGTTATTAGGGCAGTAGATGAAGTGGCAATGGGAGGCTTTTATTTTGAAATTTGCTGTGGGGTGTGTTTTGAAAAACCCCTAGAGTCTCATTTTTAAAAAAGTGGTTGAGTTTGGGTCATAATGTTGAGCCATATGCTGGGAAAAAAATATGAGTTTAATGTAGGGGCTTTTATTTTGAAGGGTCCCCGGAGTCTTATTTTGAAAGTCTATCAGGGTTGCGTGTGAAGGGAAGGGTCATGGCCAGTAGTCATATTGTATCCACTTCCTAATGTTAAATCAGTGTTGTCTCCCTCCATTAGATTAAAATGTGCTGTTTAAAGTGGTGGAGGTAAAATCTCTTTGAAGCACGGTTACCTTGACGACGTTAACGAGCCTGTCAGTGACAGAGAGACATGCGCATCACTTTCGTTCCTTAGTTCTCAGGCTTTTTTGAATGGAATTATCAGCTCCGAACAAACGAGTGCTGAAGACAAACCGTAAATGGTATCTAAAAAAATTCTTTCAGTCTAAGCGACAGCTATCCTTTATCTCCAATTGGGGTAACTTTCATAGATGTAGCTCATTCACAACCTTAATGGGAAGGAGGAATAAAAAGGTTTGAGAAATCCTGCTGGTCTCATTGAATAACATGCAGCACAACGGTAGAGCAGAACTCTCAAAAGCAAAACTTTCCCTCCGAACAAACGAGCGGTGAGCCAAAACCGTATTAGGTATTCAAAAAATTCTTTCACCGTGAGTGTCAGCCATCTTTGGACTACAACTGGTGTAACTTTCATATTTCTACAATATTTCGTCTAGGCGTGGTGACGATGTAAAAAAGTGTATAATTGTCAAAATCTTGATTTTGGGGTTCGGACAGATTTGTTACCCCCGAACAAACCTTTTTCCTAGCTAAACGATAAAAGATATCGACACACTTCCTTCAATGCGAGTGCTAGGAAGGTCTGAGGAACAACTTCCATAAGGCTCGTGTTGCTACGTCGAACGGTTCCCGAATGGGAGCGATACGAAAAAGTCTGTTTTTTTTTATTTTCATTTCGGATTTTCAGAGATCTCTCATTGGATTTCTATTGGGGAAGTGTGGACTTCTTCGTGGTCTGGGTTAAACTGTCGGAAAACCGTAAATGCCACACAGATGAGGGTTACATTTCCTGAATCCTGACAAAAATCCCTACGTTTTGATGTAAAATTTATCTAGATAGAGTAAAGAATGAGCGAGTGAGTTGAAGCTGTTCGGCATGAGTGAAATGTTTGAAAACGCTAGAGTGGCACACCTGCCTAA